AATTTCATGATTTTCAAGAGTTTTAGACCATGTTAGAAAACATGTTAGAAAACATGTTAGATCTAACATTCTAACATAAAATATATTTTTGCCAAAAAAATGGTTCATTTACTCACAATATTTTTGTACAAAACGACCCCAAACTTTTAACTTCTTTTCTGCAGCTTCTAATGAAATTTTAGCGAGTTCATATTCTCTAAATTCTCTCTTTAAATCTTCTTGTTCCCATTGGTCTAGTTCGTATGGCGAGTCTCTATAACCAGAACATATCTCACGTTCATGTTCTATTTGTTTTTCATGCATTTTTCTAACTTCTTCTTCGAACAAAGGTTTTGCATTCTCTACTGTATCTTCAAGTTCTTCTTCATCTAATTTCTCATGAACTTTCTTGTCTATGGAGTCCAAAATTTTTCCAACTGCTATACAATATTTTGGAGAAGCCCACATTGCTATATAGTTTACAAGTCTTGGGTCTACATACGTTCCTCTAACCTGTTTGATTTCATCAGGAATTCCTGCATGAACTGTGTATAAAAAGCAACCCGCGGAATTCCGCGGGTTGGTATATTCTTCACAAAATGCCTCAAAATACTCTTCCCAGGACTTATTTTCCAACAACCTTCTAAAGTCTTTCCTAAACTGCTGACACATCTTTGTTGCATTTATATAACCATCCATGTCTCTACGTAAGACTTCAATACCGTTGTAAGTGCCTTTTGTGAATGTTTCGCCATTAGATTTGTTCGTGAACGTTTTTGCTTCGACTGTCATACTGTTCTTACAATAAAAATAAAAAAAATATTTTTTGGTGGGACGTCGGACATTCGTTTGTGGCTTAACCGTCGGACATTCGTTTGTGGCTTAACCGTCGACCCCCTCAGTAAACATCTCATTTTAACTCACTTTTTTTCTATCTTAAGGAAATTCATGAAAATTCACCTGTTGAATTTTGTATAAAAAGCAACCCGCTGTTTTCCGCGGGTTGGTATATTCTTCACAAAATGCTTGTTTTGAGGTCGAGCCACTTTTGGCTCCACCTCTTTTTTCAACCAAAAACTCATTTTTGTCGAATTCAGCACAAAATTCATGAAAATTCAAGAGTTTTAGACCATGTTAGAAAACGTGTTAGAAAACGTGTTAGATCTAACATGCTAACATAAACATTATTTTTCAATACTTTTTCAGCACTTCTCCGTAGTTATATATGAAAGACAATTCGAGATAAAAGTCGTAGTACAATGGAACAATATGTTGCACACCATTTGTTGTGAACCAAACTTGAAAGTCAGAGAAACTGTTACTAGGTGGTTCGTAGAATTTAGAAGCAAAGTCATAAAAGTCCTTACCAATACAAAGAAAACTATTGTTGCTTGAACTGAAACTTGCATGACACATGACATTTTGAGGGTCAAACACGTTTCTATAAACTGTCAAATCTGTTGGTGGGCGTATAAACCAGAACGGACCGTCAGGTGGTAATGGTTCGTTCTGGTTTAGTAACCGAAGAAATTGTGCCCAAGAACGTTTGTCTACTTGCCAAAATAAAAACTGTGTATCTCTTGGAGGGTTATTTTCAATCCTTTGAAATGAAACTGTGGAGTTCATCTTGTCATATTCTAGTTTCAGATAGTATGTTCCATTTAGTAAAGAGTCGTATTTTTCTTGAAATTCCCAGTAGTATTTGTTTATTTGAGTTTGAAAGTCATTTAGAGTCTTCTCAAGATTTTCGTCTGAACGAACCGTAAAGATTCTCATTTCATCAAATTTGTCTAGTAGACCATCATGACCTCTATACCGCCCATGAAAATATACTGCGAACATAAACGCGTTAGTTCTTTTTGAAAACAAAACTCTTCTAAATCCTATTGCCTTTGCATCTGAAGGACTTTGAAGCCAACGAATTGGATAGTCAAAGCGGTAGGAGCCAGATGAAATTTCTTCATCTGATATAGTCCTACCAGCGTTTGTAAAGATATAGTCTAACGGTTTTGTATCTGCTACTTTTGTTCTTTGTTTTTCAACCTGAAACATTTAATATATGTAAAAATATACTGTTTTAAAAAAAATGTTTTAAAAAAGTATGCCATTTCATATTTCTCATCTAACAAACATGTTGTCTGACTGCTTGAGAGTTAGGTTGGTACCATTCGAACTTCACGCTTACAATTCCTTCAATTGCATTCAAAATGTCTGAGTCGGAGTCAACCATTTGTTCTCTCTTTGTAGTCTTGAAAGCGTCAAGAAGTTGTGTGTTGTGACATTGCCATGTGCATAGTAAATGTGACCGTCCAAATCTGTTACGGTTAGTCTGAGATTGTATCCTTTCTTATTTCCGTCTTGTATGGCAGCAAGTACTCCCATGAAGCCTTCTTTGTTCTTTCCTTCGTCAAAGTTTACTGTAAAGGTTCGACCAGATGTAATTTGACTTCTAACTTCACGGTACTTTCATATGCATATCTTGTTCTTTCCATTGGAGCATGTGCGTCTTCACCTTTTCCTTTTTTCCTTCTCAAAGGATGCAATTGTTCGTCATGTTTCCAGTAGAATCTGGCAAAGCCGTCGTGTCCTTCAACTTGCGGTTCACTAACATTGAAAGGCAAGTTCATAAGACGTTCTTCTTCTAACCTCTCTAGTCTGTTTGGATAATTTGCACGTGCTGTTTCTAGGTCCATTTCGTAGCGAAGACCAGACAATTTGTCATAGACTTTTATGGGTCTTCCCTTCCTATATTTAAAATTCTTCGAAACTTTCCAACCATATCTTTCTAACTCTGCTTTTATTCTAGCAGATTTTCTATCCATTCTATATGGGGGCATTTTTATAAAAATAAAAAAATATATTTTTTCTTTACTTTACATAACCGCCTGCTGCCATAAGTCTTTGACGCCAACCCATACCAGCTAATGAAGGTTGACTTGGTTTAGTTTGGAAACTAACCTTTGGTTTTGGTTTATCTTCAGTTTTTGGCTCACCTTCTTCTATCGGTTTTTCGTCACTTTTTGGTTCACCTGACTTTACTTCACTTGCAGGTATGGTTGTGTCGTCAACATCTTCGTAAATATCATATGCCATTTGTTTTTGTTTTCCTTTCAACTTTTTGTGTTTGTTGTAAAGTTTAGAATATTTCGACTCTAAGTCAATGAGATGTTCTATAATGAACTGTTGGTCCGTGAAGTATACCTTCCCATCTGTTGTCTCATAAACTCCTTCAGACTTCAATATTTTATTTGTGAGAGTCTGTTTCTTTTTTGAGATACTAGCCGTTCCATTTCTATGAAAAGTGACTTTGTAGTTAGGGTTTGTATTTCCAGACCTGGCACTTTCTATTATTGAATTTTTCTCTTCATCTGTAAGTTCTTTGACAGGTTTTGACAATGGTTCTGAACTTTTTGTTTGTGGTGTCAAATCTACCGTTTCAACTTCTTCGGTCATTTCATCTCAGTAAAAAATTTTAGTTTGGTTTGTTTTCAACTGGTTGTTTAGGTTTTTTAAGTCGGTCTAAAACTTCCTGAGGTATAGGAAGAACTTGACAAACACGTGGTTGTGTAACTACTGGAAGTCGACAAATCCATCTTGAACCCATTTGTCTCAATGCTGTATTGTTCATTTCATCTCAGTAAAAAACTTTACATTCCCCAAGTTTGAGGTGGTTGCGGTTGGTTATTGTTTACCCACTGTTGTGCATGGTTATATCCTCTGTTAAAGAATCTTTCACCTTGGTCCATATAGTGTCCTGCTTGGTTATAGTAGTCATTTGCTTTGTTATAGTAGTTTCCTGCTTGTCTTCCTACATTGTCCATCCATCCTTGAACTTTTCCTCTTGTTTCAGGATTTGGAATAAGATTTGTTGCATCTCGTGCTACCTCCCAACCTTTCTGTACAGTTTGTATAATAGGTTGTGCTTTCTCTTTAAGTATACCTAATGTACTCAAAATCTTCCTTCCAATTCCAAATGCACCTCTAGCTATTGTTCCCACTGCGGGCAAAAATCTGGATGCAACTCCTGCTAATGCGCCAAATAAACCCATTTCTTATAGGGTAAAAAATGACGAATCCAAACAAGGACCCCTATGTTTCTAAAGCAACAAAGAAAGCACTCATGGTAAAAATCTTTAGTTCAACACCAAATGCTTGGTTTATGGATATCTTGGAAAACATTCCGAGGTATAGAGAAGATGGACCACCATACTGGCTAATATTTGTCGGTCAAAACACAAGATACTGTGAAGCCATACCATTGCAGTCCAAAAATATTTTAGATGTGAAAACTGCTTTGACAATATTCGTTGACAAATACCATCCAACAAAACTGACATCTGACTGTGAAAGTTCTTTCAAATCAGACGATATTAAAAACTATCTGCGTTCAAAAAATGTAAACCAATATTTCATTGTCGACCAAAACCATTCTGCTCTTGGTGTCATTGACAGTTGTATAAAAATCTTAAGAGACTTAAATCAACCACAAGGTGGTGAGGTAGATGAAATGTCATATGACGACAAATATAGACACTTCTCCATGGCAAAGATGAGACAAGTTTTAAATATTTACAATAGCCGTAAACAAAAAGGTTTGGGAAACCACTCCCCCGAAGAAATGAAAAACAACCCTGACTTAGAGAAAGACTATATATTTAATAATTTAGTCAAAAGAGACAAACAAGAAAGAATGCCGGGCTTCAAACTTCAGAAAGGTGACAAAGTAAAAATAGAAATACCTAAACGCGACCCATATGAAAATACTATTGACTATGACAACAATGGGAACCGACAGGTACTCACATTCGTGTTCGTAAAAATAGAAGAAAGTATACAAGAGAATATTATGAAGTTTTAGGCAAACATGGCAAAATGTACACACTGCAAGCAGAAGATAAAACTACTATTGTCAGACCTCGTTTCAAACTTGTCAAAGTTCAAGGTGGTATACTTTCAAAGACAGTTCCTAACAAATATAAGACAACTGCTGACGAATATGCTAAAGAAGTTGAAAATGACGACTAAGCATTTCTATACCATGCGTAAACTGTCATGTAAGGTGGCATGTAGTCTTTACTCTGTCCCGTTGTTTCCGAATATCCTGTAATGCGATGTGTATGGCTTCCTCCTCCCTGAGTGTCATCCCAGTAACAATTTATAGCAAACTTAACGTCGTCTTTAACATCATATCCTTTACCTTTTGTCATTCCTGTCCAATCCCAATATCTATGCTTATGCCAACCTGCTTCAGCTGTAGTTAAATTTATGTAGTGACTGTGTGCAGGTAAGTTTTCACCTGAAATCGTTTTACTTCCACCTGTTACCTTTGAAGAGTTTGCACAATACAAAAACCTTTCGACTATTTGAGTCCAAGTTCCAAAACCAAGTACTACTTCTGGTCTGGTAGAGTTCATTGACGTATAAATAGAACCTATAGGATATACTGTTTGAAGTATTTCAATCTTTAATGTTTGAAGCTCTGTTTTGTCTGCTTTCTTATATAACCTTTCTTCAAGTTCATTTACGTCAGAGATGCTATGTCTATGATATTTTTGTGGGTATGTTCCTTCTGTCCATGCGAAAATACGTTCTTTTGTTGCATCTACATATCCTTTTATCCATGTCGAGTCTGCTTTTGTATTCCTTAACTCTGTAACACCTTTCTCAAGCTCTTTCAACTGTTGTCCATCTTCCATTAAACCTCTGGTATGACTTGAAACCGTTTGTGTCAACATATCTACAGTTTCTTTGTCGGCTTTAAGGTCTAAACATCCTGAAACCCACCCTGTATTGGCTTTACCTTCTAAAATCTTCGATGTCCGTTCATTATACCATTCAACCCTTTCTTTAATTTCATTGTCTTTTTCATCCACATATTCCTTATCTGCCTTCTTCACTAACGCACTAGCCACGCATGCTAACTCATCGTTAACATATGTTTTGTCAGCTTTCTTTTCAACATCCTCTTTTGTTGCATATGTTGCATCTGCTCTGTCATGTTCTTCTTGAACTTTTTCAATGACATACTCTTTGTCAGCTTTGTTGTCAACATCTGCTTTCAAAAGAAGTTCATCTATAGGTTTCTCGTTTAAAGTTCTTTTTGTTGGATTTATACAAACAGTATGGTTCTTACTGTCTTGAAACAGAAACTCGTCTGTCATTGGGTTTAATGTCAGTTTTAAGTTTCCTTCTTTCAATGACTCAGATATCTTAGAATAGTTTGAAAAGTTTGTTGTGTTCTTATTTAGAGCTTGCAAAATGAGTTGTCGGTTGTGTTGTATTTCTCTCATAGACGCTGTTTCTTTCGACATTTTTATTCTAGATAAAATATGCTTTCAATAGAAAAAGAAAATTCTAGAGTTGCTACAACTAAACCATTAGATGAACTTTTTACTAATGTCGGTCAAAAGTTTGAGACAGAGACCGTAAAACATGAAGGCTATCGTTTTGACTACCCACTAAGATGGTTAAGAGACCCATCCGTCACAAAAGCTATTGGCTTTCGTAGAATGAAGTTCATTTCAGAAGCCATACATGGTTTCCCATTTACGGTCGCTTTTGAAGTTCGATACTATAACAAAGAAAAACGTACGTATGAGAAATTTGAACAGGGAAAACTTTTACAAGTGAATTTGCTTGTAAACTTAGAAACAACTCTTCAAGCTTTTCAAGAAAAAATAAACGATATCTATCTCGAATATGCAAAACAGTACAACATTGACGAAGGAGAGTACCATCTCGATATTTTATATGACAGGAAAAATGCAACTGTTAAATTCAATAGAATAGAAGACCTTGGAGAAGACGTTTATATTTCTACAAAATATAACAACTTGGCATGGTATAGATTTTTGAGGATGTTAAATCAGCCTGCAGAATATCCAGTACACCCGAACTTTTATGAAGTCGAAAACCCTAATGGAACATATGAAAATGTTTTCGACTCAGATGCTATTATAGTTCATGCTTCATTTTCTGGTGCACAAAACTCTTTTTTATGCTTGGCAAATGACTTTTACGAAAAACCTACAAAGCTATATGAACCACCGAGTGGAAGTATTTCAGACTTTCAAGTATGGTTTACAACAGATGGAAGAAAGAGAATAGTTCCATTATACCATGCGTTTTACTTAGAACTTAGTTTCATATACAACTACTATCGAACGATAAAAATATAATTTTTTAATACGGTTGAGGTGTTGGATTTGGTTGCCAACTAGACTGTGGTGCAGGTTCAGGCTGTTGTATAACAGGAGCTTGTTCTTCTGGTTCAGGGTCTTTAGGTATAATACCAACGAACTGACCTACTCTTTTACCAATATTTTTGACTCCGTTCCAAATTCCTCTTCCGACAGATTTTATTCCATTCCATATACCTCTTCCAACATTTCGAAAGAAGTTTCCTATTCTTCCAAAGAAACCCATTTTACTATATGTAAAAATCTAATGTCCGCCTAGTCTCTTACGTTTCCTGTTGAGTTCCATAGCATTCTTTAACTGGAGCTCATACATTCTGTTTCTCCTCTGGTAGAAAACATATTCTGGGTCAACTCCTGTGTTCGCGTCATCTGCATAAAGTTGTTTATATCCCACTTCGGGGTTTGTATAAAACTCTTTCCATCTCATATTTGCATACCATGGTGGTAAGCCTAACGCAGCGTCATTTGACATGGCAGTTTGCATTTGTACATCTGTTGGCACTTGACCATAGTTTGCCATTGCAGTTTGTATTCTAACTTCATTTGGAATATTCTCTGGGTTTGGTTGTCCAGGTTGCTGTGCATTTGCTAAGTTCTGTGCGTCCATTTAATATTAGATAAAAATATCTCTTACGAGTACATATACTGGACATTTGCAGGCATTGGTTCATCTTCATATTCTCTGTACTTTTCTGCCACGTCAAATAAATAAATGACACAATGGAAAAAACCTAAAACAAGTAGTCCTATTTCAAACCACATTTACTTACTAGTAAAATTTCTTTGTTATGACTTCTTCGTAAAGACTTTGTTAAGACTTCTTCGTAAAGACTTTGTTGAGATTTCTTCGTAAAGACTTTGTTGAGATTTCTTCGTAAATGAGTGTAAATGACCCAAAAATATATTTTAGGGTAGAAGGTTAGATATAACCTCTTTTCTAACCTCTTTTCTACCCTCTTGAATTTTCATGAATTTCTTCGTAAAGACTTTGTTAAGACTTCTTCGTAAAGACTTTGTTAAGACTTCTTCATCTAATTTCTCATGAACTTTCTTGTCTATGTTTTGTTGAGATTTCATCGTAAAGACTTTGTTAAGACTTCTTCGTAAATGAGTGTAAATGACCCAAAAATATATTTTAGGTGAAGAGGTGAGATTTCACCTCTTTTTTCACCTCTTTTTCACCTCTTTTCTAACATGGTCTAAAACATACAAAACTCATGAAATTTCATACGGAATTCAGCAAAAATATATTTTATGTTAGAATGTTAGATCTAACATGTTTTCTAACATGTTTTCTAACATGTTTTCTAACATGGTCTAAAACATACAAAACTCATGAATTTTCATGAATTTCTTCGTAAAGACTTTGTTGAGACTTCTTCGTAAAGACTTTGTTGAGACTTCTTCATCTAATTTCTCATGAACTTTCTTGTCTATGTTTTGTTGAGATTTCTTCGTAAAGACTTTGTTGAGATTTCTTCGTAAAGACTTTGTTGAGACTTCTTCATCTAATTTCTCATGAACTTTCTTGTCTATGTTTTGTAAAGATTTCATCGTAAAGACTTTGTTGAGATTTCTTCGTAAATGACCCTAGTAGTATATTTTTGGTGTAAATTTCATGAAAATTCAAGAGGTGAGAAAAGAGGTGAAAAAACAGGTGAAATCTCACCTCTTCACCTAAACTTTATTTTTGGGTCATTTACACTCATTTACGATGAAGAAGTCTTGACAAAACATTTACGATGAAGAAGTCTTGACAAAACATTTACGAAGAAATCTTGACAAATTCAAGAGGTGAGAAAAGAGGTTAGAAAAGAGGTTAGATCTAACATTCTAACATAAAATATATTTTTGTCTGATTTTACGAAGAAGTCTTGACAAAACATTTACGAAGAAGAAGTCTTGACAAAACATTTACGAAGAAATCTTGACAAAACATTTACGATGAAGAAGTCTTGACAAAACATTTACGAAGAAATCTTGACAAAACATTTACGATGAAGAAGTCTTGACAAAACATTTACGATGAAATCATGAGTTTTCTACGATGTTAGAAAACATGTTAGAAAACATGTTAGATCTAACATTCTAACATAAAATATATTTTTGGGTCATTTACACTCATTTACGAAGAAGAAGTCTTAACAAAGTCTTTACGAAGAAGTCTTAACAAAGTCTTTACGAAGAAGTCTTAACAAAGTCTTTACGAAGAAATTCATGAAAATTCAAGAGGTGAGAAATGAGGTGAAAAAAGAGGTGAAATCTCACCTCTTCACCTAAAATATATTTTTGGGTCATTTACGAAGAAATCTCAACAAAGTCTTTACGAAGAAGTCTTAACAAAGTCTTTACGAAGAAGAAGTCTTGACAAAACATTTACGAAGAAGAAGTTTTGACAAAGTCTTTACGAAGAAATTCATGAAAATTCAAGAGGTGAAAAAACAGGTGAAAAAACAGGTGAAATCTCACCTCTTCACCTAAAATATATTTTTGGGTCCTTTACACTCATTTACGAAGAAATCTCAACAAAGTCTTTACGAAGAAGTCTCAACAAAGTCTTTACGAAGAAGAAATCTCAACAAAGTCTTTACGAAGAAGTCTCAACAAAGTCTTTACGAAGAAGAAGTCTTGACAAAACATTTACGAAGAAGTCTTGACAAAACATCCTCAGGGCTAGAAGGCACGAAGTGCCTGGGAGCCCCAATACCTTTTTTTTTTTTTTTTTTTTTTTTTTTTTTTTTTTTTTTTTTTTTTTTATTGTAGAATATAAGCATATATGATAGAAAAGCAATATGCTTAATATCGAGTAATTCTAATTTTTTACGAAATTATTCAAATACGTTATTTTTTAAAATGAAAAGATAAGCATACCATTATGCAGTAGTTTGCGCACATATACTATGCTGATGAAAGTTGGTCTCTAATTCGAAACTTGAGTCTGTCAAATTGACGTTCAAGTATTAAAAAGTTGTATTATACGTATGATGTTGCCCGATGTTTGGTAACACTATTGTAGAATATAAGCATATATGATAGAAAAGCAATATGCTTAATATCGAGTAATTCTAATTTTTTACGAAATTATTCAAATACGTTATTTTTTAAAATGAAAAGATAAGCATACCATTATGCAGTAGTTTGCGCACATATACTATGCTGATGAAAGTTGGTCTCTAATTCGAAACTTGAGTCTGTCAAATTGACGTTCCATCTTATTTTAATCGATATTCAATACAAATGAATTCATATTATAATAGTATCTAGTATAACTAGGTATTCTATCACAGTATTTCTTCAATTTATTATAATATTTCAGCATTTTTTAGTTTCAATGCTGATTTGTTCCTTAGCTTGTAAACTATAGTTACTTTATATCTTCGGCTATTATCCTATTCAACTTAGACGTAAAAAAATTAAATAACGTATAAATATAATTTTAATGGTAAAAGATTAAATGTTTATTCCGTATGTAATGTGATTTGATTTGGATGGTAAGATAAGTTTCGGTATAGTTTTTGTTAATTGATTAAGAATTGTTGAATAAAATTCTGGAACTTCGTCAATTTCTTTGATTCCTTCTTGAAGCGTTGAAATTTCTTATTGACTCTCTTTTTATAACTTTTGAAAGAAACCGTAAAAATTGTGAAACATGCTTTTTAATAAAAAAAAACAATTTTGATGAAAACCATAAATTAATTTAAAATTGAAATAAATTTTTGAAATCTATGATATTGAATAAAAAAATTTATAGTGTAGATATTGATATAGATATAGATGTTAATTTTAATATGATATTTGATAAAATTTTTTTATCAAAACATACTGATAATAGGTTGACATGTAATATGATATTTTGCCTTGTAAATATATTTGGTCGGCAAAATAACCTAATTACTCTTATTTTGAGTTCACTTCCACCATTTCGTCTTATGATAATATAACACAGAAAGCCTAGAAGGAAGCCATTTCTCAATGCTAAGACGTCCCTCTTGGATTTCTTATTATGGATGGAGTGTGTTATTATAGAATATTGCATAATAATCCAAATTCAATTTCTAAACATTACCTCTTCACATCATAGCATACTCAACGAGTACTAATCATATGCTATTGATTGCTTTAAATTGAACAAAAAATTCAATAATTGCTCTAGATCTTATCTCAATTATCTTGACATGCCAATAGGACCTACATATACATAAAAGGAATATACATGTGATAACAATCTTATCGTATAAGGAATTGAAGCACGATTTCTTAAATCTTTCTCGTCCCTATAGTAATCCGGGATTTAATATACCCAACAAACACAATGATAAAACAAATTTCTATTTCATATAAATTAAAGAAATATAATTTTGATAATTTTATCTCCAAAATACCTCGATAGATTTTCGCGATCCCATGTATATGAGTTCCATAGCAGGTGGTAAGTATAAGTCCATTAGCAAAATTGAAAATTGAGCGAGAAGATTTTGCTGAACTATTTTATTTTGTCCCAAAAGAAATTTGACAAAAGTTTGCATTACTCATGTTTGAGAGAGGGTCAAAGTTGCTATTTGTCACTTTTCCACAAGAATATAATGGGGAAAAAGTTATCATATAGTTGATCTCATTCACTGAAGTGAGAGATGCATGTAGTGTAATTTGATAAACAGTGGGATTGCTGCTCTAAGTCCTAGGTTCGAGATACATTAGCTTCATTTTCTCTTTTTTATTGACGTAAACTATTCAATTTTTGTGTTCTCCATTCAAATTTCAGAATTTTTTTTGCAGATTTCACGCTACATTCGAAGTTACCTTTTGTAACAACCACCACTGCCTCCGAAAGACGAAAGTGTGTCACGATTTCACCCGGAAATCCGACTGTTGTTTAAGAGTAAGCACTTTTGGCACCTACTCACTCATGTTTGATTTTTTCTGGCCACTGATTAAAGGATCGATTATCTTTATTGGTATTATAACGTTTGTACATTTAACCTTCTATTTATATAAGTTTTATGTTGCAATGTGGGGTAAAGCTAGAAATCTTAAGGAAGTTTTTAAGACTGAATGGGTAATGATTACTGGTGCTAGTTCCGGAGTTGGAAGGCAATTAGCTTACATGTGTGCTAATCAAGGTCTCAACATTGTTGCGATTGGAAGATCAAATGAAAAGTTAACCAAAATGGCTATCGATTTGGCGCCAAAAAATATTAAGTTTAGATATCATGCAGTTGATCTTGCAGATTTAGATGCTCCAAAGAGAATTTTCGAGACAAATAAAGATATTAAAATAGGGTGTTTATTCATTTGCCATGGATTTAATAATGTTGGACGTATTACCGATAAGAGTTCTGACGATATCCGACACGATCTGAACGCTATGACAACGTCAAATATTTTATTAACTAAATTGTTTGGAAATCAAACAGATTTCGGAACAGTTACTTATATATCAGCTATAAATGCAGACAATCATGTATCTTATGCATCAATTTACGGCGCTTCCAAGAGGTTCATTAACCATTTCGCAGAACACATGCAGTCAGAAGGCTATTTCCACAATATTACTTTTCAAGCCATTTGCCCAGATTTCATTGCAGATACAGAATTCTACAGAGATATGCCTCAGAAAATCAAAGATTGCGCCAAAGACGGCGTAGCTCCAGAGAGGGTTGCAAATGCAATACTTGCTACGGCTGGTCGTAATTTCACATGCGATATTGGATGGGATACAATAATTATCCGATTTTTCATGTGGATTCTTCCTGACTTCCTGCAGGATAAATTTTTCAAAATGGCTGGCTACAACATGATGAAGGAAATTTGGGACCATCAAATGCACCATGCAAAAACCGATTGAATTCATAAAAAAAGTTGTTTCGTCTTAAAATTTCAACACATGATACTTGCCTTTGGAAAAATAGATTATATAAGCTTAGCATAAACAAATGTAATTTGATTTATTTCATTATTTTGCTTATAGTTACATATATCAACAAGCATGTCATGAAGCTTTTTGTCAGAATGAATTAAATAAAGTGTAATAATCTGTAGGGTGAATGTATAAATATGCAACAATTCTTTAGGTAAGAAATCAAATTTGATATAATATAATTTCGGGACTCAGTTGGCTAGGCTTGCCCGAAAGGCAAGCCTAGCCAACTTCGGCAAAATAAATATATTATGATTATAGGAAATGAGTTTATACAAATAAATTTAATTGTGAGTGATTAATATTATATTTTAAAGATTATTATGTAAAGTATAAGATAGACTTTTAGCTAAATCGAAGTAATTTAGAGAACAATTTGAGATTTTAGAAATTTTTCAAATGAAATATTGAAAGCAAAGAATTTATTAAGAATTTGTTGTGAAATGAATACACTTGGGTAAGATATTAGATTGGCGTGATAATTGACAAAATTGGAGCTGAAGTTTGGTTCACAAATGAAGAATAGGTCTAAGCTATATCAAAAAATTGTAATATATTTGAAAATCTAATAGTTTTATTTAGTAATTTGATATCGATGCGATCATAGATATTGATTTGAGTATTAAATTCGAAATTTTGTAATTTATAATGATATTTAGGAGCTGTAAAGCTAAAAACTAATTAAGTATATGATGACAAAGAACTTGCTAGAGATTAAAATCTAAAATTTTAGAATTTTTAAAATTAAATTGAAACTACATGAACATATTAAGAATCTTTTAAAGTACACTGGCACTCCAATAAGTCATTAGTTCAATGTGATGCATTAGAAGTTTGATTGAAAAGTCTGGTTAAGAAATGATGAAAATGTGAAATGAAAATGTAGCATTTCTCTCAATTTTTCAGACACTTTTTGCCTATTGTTTTCGAAGTGGCGCTTCGCGCCGCTAATAAAATTTTGAGAACAACTTTAGTTGTTTGTTAGGCAAAATTATTTTAACGAATTACGATTCATAATTTGTTGTAACATAATAATCTCTAATTGATTTTTGACTTTTGATAATAAATTATTAATAAATATTTTGAAAAGTCATTTTCTTCGCTATTTAATTGGCGCAAAGCGCCAATCAAATAGCTCAGATTAAGAATATGATATTATTTCAAATATGATGAAAATTTTTGAGTGAAAACTATCAAAAATAAGTCTTAAAAAATACATTTTTAGAAATGATTTTTGATTCTTAATCATTTTATGTTTCAGCAACTGACAATCACTATATATATATCATCTAGCGGCGCTACACGCCGATAGATGGAGGACAAGGCTGTCATGCACCAGTGTGTTATAACAGATCGATTTTATTTGAAATTTCATAAATTAATAATTATAATAAATTTGATATTCAGAGACGGCGCTACGCGCCTTTTAGCATTCTGGGCACGCAAGTGCCCAGAATGCAAGATTGAGAAATTTGAAACGAAGTTTCAAATTTCTGCCATGCTGTTATGGAAAAAGAAAGTCAGTACAAAAAAATTTTTGAAATTGAGAATAAAAATAATATCGTGATTTTTTGTGATATATGGATTTTTAGAAGATTTTAGAGATTGAAGTCTCAATTTATAAAATTTTTTTAAATTGAGAGGAATTTTAATGATATTATTTTATTTGATATAAGGGTTTCGTTTTGCGAAAAAACGTACAATACGCAATTTCGCTAAAAAACATTTAGCTAGCAATTTCGACCTTTGACTCCACTCAAGACGTCACTTTTTTAATTTTGCGGTATCATATTTTTGGAAAATCTTTATGAATATTATATAAAAAGTCTCTTTAATATCTATATTTCATATTTTTATCGATTTTTAAAGTTTTTGCGAAAAGTATTCAATTATTTTTGCTATTTTGTCGGGTAAATGTCAGATTTGCGACATTTTCTGATATGATATTCAGATTCTACGTTGATAATAATGCTTATAGAACCCTCTTGCTATTGTGTCAAAATTGCGAAACCGATAGTAGTATATATGTGCGGGTTTTGTGACTTTTTTTGTAAACGTAAGAATTCATACAATATAGAACGATTTTGTATCATTTTTTTTAACATATGAAGTAAAAAATGTATGATTCTTACGGTTTTTATTCTTACGTTTTTGAATAAATCAAGATTTAAAAAATTTTCAAAATTGTAAGACATTTACACTCAGCCCAAACATAAACACATTTTAAAAAATTAACATTAATTTTAAAATAATTTTTTTATCTTTTATAAAAGAAGCTATATATATAGATGATGTCAGATATTCCGCGATTAATTAAACATTGTTGAATAACTGAATGGGTTAAACTTCTTACGAAAAATTAAAACTTAGTTATGTTTATTATTTTATTTTTTTATTTTGTATGAAATGAGTGTCAAGACTAACGACGTTAAAAAATTAGGATTCACAAACAGGGAAATAAAGGATATATTAGAGGAGGCGGGTTATGAGGTTGATAAATATTATTTAAGAAATTGTCAAAAATTCGCGGAGTTTTTAAATGAGTTTGATTATGATGGAAAAATGAATAAAGATGATGTTATAAATTTCTTATATCCCACATCTAAAGAAGAAAAACCTAAAGAACCTGATGTTTTCCCTGAATATTATGAAGAACGAATTAAAGATGATGAATACGATGAAATTGAAAGACTGGAAAAAAATAAGATGAAATAGATGAAAAAATAAAGAGATGAAATAGATGAAAAAATTAAGAAAATGAAGTAGAGGGTTTAATGAATATCCCAGCTTCAGAATCAGCAGTTCAGAAATCTCATGAAGAAAGATATAAAAATTATGTCTCAGAATCAACACAAAATTTATTAGATGGTGAAATAGACGAAACACTTTCAGAAGAAGGTACTAAATTTATTCGTAAACATAAGTTACAATTTATTGATAATGAAGAATACCCTTGTATCTTACTTTCACCCCCTCTCGATTCTGAGAAATTCAAAAAAGCTCTTAAAAACGTGACATATGCAACTAATACGATTAAGAAAGAAGATCATGATATTTACACAAATTATTATTTAAATAAATGCACAGGTGTTGATAAAGTTTTTGATTTATTAGATAAAATATCAAAAGAAACCATTGGAACATATAAAATTTTATGTGATTGCGGTTTCATTGTTGAAGATACTAATAATGTTTCATATGAAAGAACAGCACCGAAGGAAGACGAAGTTGAAAGGTCTATACCATTCGTTATTAAGAATATAAAAGATATGAAAACTTATAAACATTATATTTATTCATTTATTTCAGAAAAAATGGAAGCAACCCATAAAACATCTTCTCATCATTTTATAGCTATTCATACATTCCTTTTCAAAGTTGTGAAATTAAATAAGACAGGAATTAGATTTAATGTATCAGGGTACGCATTCTTGAGTAAATTAAAATGTATCCGTCACGTTGCAGATGATAAAAATTTATGTGTTCTTAATTCATTTTACGGACTTAAAAAAAAATAAACTTTATTTTTATTTTTTAATTTTTATTCTTACATAAATGAACAAAAACGGAACAGCTAAAATGAATGATAATCAAATTAGAGCAGAAGGTAGAAGGTTATTTAAACGCTTCTATAACATTCCTGATGGTATTAATCCTAAAACTCGTAGAAGCTATTTAAATGAAGCAATAGATGCATATGAAGGGTTTGACATTTCATCAGAAAGTGAGAGATTAGCGAGAATGTTAAATGTTAATATTGATTTCTATTATTGTGATCCTCAACCAGAAGACGTGGACATAAATAAGGTAGACTTTCCATTAGTGGAATCAATAATGATAGATCCAGAATTTGAAACAGTAAATATTTTATTAACACAGAGTCCATGTGGAAAACTTCACGCTGACAGAATAACAGACGTTGAAGCACTCACCGGCTATAAAGTTTGTCCATATTGTAAAGAAGAAGTTTATTCTATCCGTGATGATCCAGAAAGGAAAAACCAAAGAAGATTTTTAAAGCATTGTGAGAAATGTAAAGAAAATAATGGGAGATTAATTCAAGACGTTCAATTGCAAAAGACACAGCAACCATATGCACCACATATTACGAAACAGAAGATATATCAGTGGTTATTAGCTCACAATTTGCAGAAATATTATAAACCGACAAGATATTATATTACTTTTGACTTTGAAACATTAGAGACTAAAGAAGAATTACAACTTTCTGAGTGTGCAACTTTGAACGCTTACTTAAAACCATTCATGGTATCATCAGCGGTTAAATTAAACGATAAAACATATACGAGGAATTTTTGCTTAACTTCGAGTGATTCTTTTATTTCTGATTGGATTGAGTTTTTATTTTCAACCTGTTCATTAGTTGCTAAATCAAATATGAGTCAATACAATGAATTATTGAAGCCGCAAACAGTGGGGACTTTGTCTCATACATTAAATGAAAAACAGAAGGAAGCATTTAAAGAACTTCTAGATGAGGAATTCAATAAAGTGAATATCATAGGTTTTAATTCGGGAAAGTTTGATTTAAATTTAATTCTTCGTGATTTAAACACTGCAAAATGGAAAATAAAATCAATGCTGGGTTCATCTTCACAATTTAAGCAAATCATTGTAAAGAAAACAAACGTTCCATATGAATTAAGATTTATTGACATCAGAAATTATATAGCGGGTGGGACATTAGACCAATTCACTCAAGATTTCGGAAACAATAAATCACGTGTTAAATCCTTTTTCCCTTATCAATTCATCACGTGGGAAAATTACGAAGAAGAATTATATAAAGTGGAACCATTCACTCAAGATTCATTTTATTCAGCATTAACTCAAGAAACTATATCAGATAGTGATTATCAAATATATCTCAATGATGCTAAAAACTTTAAGAATAGATTAGAATATTTTATTCATTATTGCAATAAAGATGTTGAAATTATGATTGACCCAATTGATAAAATTATTGAAGAAACATTTGTTTATAAAATTGACATGCTTCATAATCTTTCTTTATCATCGAATGCTTCAATGATTCGTTACGCTTTAGCATATAAAGACTTTAATCCTAATGAAAAATATCCTGAGGAAAAGATAGAATCAAGTTTTGAATTAACGAAAAAGTATTGGAAATATAAAATTGAATCATATAAGAAACAAGATGAAAAAGCAGAAAGAGATACTAAAAATAATGTTTTAATGGATGATTTTCAATACTATCATGATTTAATCCTTTCATCTAAATGCAAAATGTGTGGTAAAGCGTTTACATATGCAAATAAACCAACATTGGATAGAATCGATAATGAAAAACCACATACCAAAGAAAATTGTCAGTTAATGTGTTGTTATTGCAATGTCGTAAAATCAAATAAAGATGAAGATGTTCAACGTTTAAGAATCAATTTAAGAAATTATGCATTAAAAAATAATTTACCAATGACTTTAGATTCAGTTGAAGCTTATCACATTCTCCGTAATGGAATTACTGGTGGTCTATCAAATGTTCAACATAGAGTAAATCTTAAAGGAATCACGCACATTAATAAACTTTCATATAGTCCAGAAACTAAAACTGTATCTAATGAGGACACTTCCAACATCATGACTCATTTCGTTGGTGTTGATTTTAATTCATTATATCCTTCATCATTTTCATCTAATCCTCATGATTTCATTCAATATACTGACCATAAAATGTATATGCCGGGAAGATTGAATGGTGTTAGCATTTGTGATACAGCAACAAAGAAAGCAAAAGCACTGGGAATTATTAGAAAGAAAAATACTTTATTCGTGGCTGAAGTAAAGGGTCACATTGATGAAAAATACATTAATGATTACATAAACTTTTTACCGATAATAAGAAACTTAGATATTATCACAGATGAAAAAACAATTGGCAGTTTTATGTATAATTACATGAAATCAAACAATTTACCAGTTGACCAGAAACAAAGAAAATTAACTCAGTTAGCATCAACACACAACCAATATCAACCATTTTCTTCTTATTATCTATGGTATCTAATCGACAGATTTCATTTTATCATCGATGATATTCAATCAATTTTAACATTTACTAAAAACACTTGTTTTAATGAATTTGCGAACGAATTTATGAATGAAAGACAAAAGGCTGAATTAGAAGGAAATAAAGGAAAAAGTTTATTTGCAAGATTTCACTTAATGGATCATATGGTTACGATGCAATGAATACACAAAATTACACAAAGACTAAAATAATGAATGCACAGAAGGCACGCGTTGCATGTATGTCAAATAAGTTTAAAAACATAAGAGAAATAGGTGAAGATACATATCAAGTGATGCTTAAAGATAGATTTTATAGATGTGATACATGTTTACAAGAGGCATTCTTCACTTTAGATAATGCTAAATACTGGTATTTGGTTTTCATTTATGATTTTATGTATAAATGCATGGATGTTAATCGTTTTCATTTCATTGAAGGTGATACTGATTCATCTTATTGGGCAATCGCTGGCGATCCAAATCTTCCTAACACTCAAGCATTTCAGGCGATTATAACCGATAAACAATTTTATGATAAAAACATTTTCAAATTCGCACCTTTGATTTCTTCTGTTTTGATGAGAAATTTAAACCTAAATTAAAGAATAAAACTGAGGAAAAAGCACATGAGAAGAAGTTATTGGGTTTAGCAATTGAGAAACAAGGTGATAACATGGTTGCTTTATGTCCTAAGTGTTATACATCATTCAACGGTTCAATTGATGGAAGTGATTTTAAAAAGATTGCACAAAAAATGAAAGGAGTTAGTTTACAACAAAATAAACAATTAACACCTAAAAATTATTTGGATATAATAAATGATAAAGTGATATTTGATGGTCAGAATATTAATTTACAACTTAAAAACGGATTAATGACTCGCTTAACAATCGGTAAGACTGCATTAACAGGAGCACACACTAAGGCTGTATGTTGTGAAAATGGATGTTGTATGCCATTTATTTAATACAATTTAAAATTTTATTTTTAATGAAATGCCACAGAAGAGACAAAAGGAACCGTTAATGATGGTTTTGATTCATGATCAAAGAGGTGGGCACCCTTAAAACATTGATTTTATTTTTATATAAATGGATAACACAGATTTAAAAAATTTAATTGATGATTTAGTATTTAATCAAAATTTTCTTAATTATTATGATTTAAAAGCATATCTCCAAAAATATAATAATAATATAACGGGTGATGATATGGAATATTATTATCCATATTATAAAAATGAAATTTTGAAATATCATGATAAAATAATTTCTAAAATTAAAGACAAAATTAAAAATAATGAATATATAAAGGGAAAAACTAAATCACAACTTAAACAATTGAAAGATTTCAAAAATAAAGTATTAACAGAAGAAGATATTGATGAATTATATAATTTATATAATCCTGAGCCGCAAAAAACAAAGGAACAAAAAACAAAGGTGCAAAACACCCAGGTCCTTCAGACCATAAATGATGCACAAGCTTTAATTTATGATTCATTAGTTAAACCATATTCAGCCCGACTTTTAAATGAAGATCAACTTTTGGAATTCATCCTTCAACATAAACTCGAAGCGGGAAAGTATATCAAACCTTTATATACAGCATATTTAAAACAAATGAATAGAATACATCCAGAATTAATGAAGGGGAATGAAATCCAAAATCAAAGCAGATAAAATTAAACCACTTGCAACACCAAAACCTCCAACGTAGTACCTCCTCCTCCTTCAGTTAATCCTTCATCATTCACTTTATTATATCCATTTCAAACATTTAAGAAGCAAAAAGATTTTAAAAAGGATTTCAAGATATTAAATAAACCAATTGACCCAAAAATTCAACCGTTAAAGGAAAAATTTAGTCGCCCTTCATTTGCTCCATATCCATATTCATACGAAATTGATCATCTGGAATATTCAAAAGGAAACGTTACTTATTTATTTGCCATTAACATTAACACTAGATATTTATATTGCATTCCAGTGAAAGGGAAAACAGAACAGGAAACAAGAAGAGCTATTCAATACTTACTAGATCATGAAAGAGTAGATAATATCAGGGGTGATGGTGATAAAGGATTTCAGGCAGCTATGACTCATTATTTCCCACAAATTAATTTTTTCTTTTCATCCTCTCCATATACGTTTCATAATAAAATAGTTGATGCGGTAATGAGAACTCTTAGAGATGCGTTAGGGGTTAACGGTCAGATATACTGGGATGGAAATCATGACTCCATCATACAACAGTTAGTATATTATTACAATAATACATGGCATAGAACTATAAACATGAAACCAGTGGAAATGAAAAATGATATTTCAAAAGAATGGGAATATATTAGAAAGCAAATGGAAAGGTTGAATGATGTTAAACGTGAACAAATTAATTCGGGGCTCATGAATTTTAAACAAGGGGATAAAGTTTTGATTCATCTCGATTATGGAAAAACTGATAAATCAATGACAAAAAGAAGACGAAGATTTGACACAATAGCTGAATTTGTTAGATATATTAACGGCAATGCATTAGTTGAAGTTGACAATAAATTAATAGAAATTCCGATTTATTTTATTACTCCATTATATTTAAATAATATTTAATTTTTTTTATTTCGTAAGAAATGAGTGACAACGAAGCAGTCAAGAGTCCAGACAATGAATATAAAAAGAAACTAAACAGAATTAAATCAAAAATATGCTATTACAAAAAGAAGCCAATGCGGTGGGGTTGAAAACATAAAACTAATGAACTGAAAACGAAATAAGAAATAATCGAAAAATTAGAAACTTACCGTTCAATCCTTAAACTGAGTGAAGCAAAAATAAAAGAATTTAATAGAATAAATAAATTGATTGGAAGAGATGAATTTAATAAAGATGAATTTTTAAACTCAATCCAAATTTAATTTTTATTCCTCTTTGACAACATCTCTCTTTCCATCATTACTGCATAACCGCATTTTCTCAATTTTAGTGGTTTGTTATTTTTAACATGTTCTCGCATCATTTTTATCGTTTCCTCCCTTGTTATGATTCGTGGTAAATTTTGAGCTTGTGGGGTATCCATTTATGATAAAAATAAAAATTTAAATTATGCCGTTCTAAAGTTTGTGACAACATGACATTTTGACAACATCATGGGTTATTCGATAATTAATTATTTTTGAAGAACTGAAGGGGTCACCAGGTCACCAGGTCACCAGGTCATTTAACTTCTCTGAAAAAATGTGACAACATGACATTTTGACAACATCACAGGAGGAAGGCAAAAATAAATTCCAGTCATACTTTATAAAGCTTCATTCACAGGTATTTCATCGTCAGTAAATGATTCCTCATTATCGTTTGGTTCAATTTGTTTATATAATCCTTTCATTTCTTCTTTCAAAACATAATACCATGTTTGTTTACCATCTATTTTTCTTTGTTTCCTTTCACATTTATCCTTAATGCTCATTTGAAAGTTTTTGTCTTTCATGTCTGATGGTTTGCAGAATAGAGCATTTTTACACGTCATACCTGCACATAATTCATCATAATGTGTATTTATCCATTCATCTAAAGGATTTGTTGATAATTCAATTAAATCTTGTTTGGCTTCAGTCATCGGTATGATTCGTACATTAAATGATGAAAGGTCATATTGCATAAAATATGTTAAAAGGTTATCATAAAATTCCTTAGTGCATGAATCCATTAAATTCTTGAAGTAATCAAATTGACCCTTGAATTTACCATTAACTCTTAAAACTACGTATCTTCTGTCTCCAACTTCAATTTTGACAGGGTAGACGTTATTAGTTACGAAAATGAAGTTTGCAACGTTCTGAGCAGTTCTTCTGGGTTGATTCTTTTCATTAATTCTAATCTCATTATCCGTAATAATTGATTTCAAAGCGTTGAAGTTTGCGAGCCTATCTTCACCTACATTCTTGAGTTCATTAAGTACAAGAAACATTTTATTCTCAACTACTGAGTTGAAATTACCCGTTAGCTCACTTATTTCGGTAATGTTTTTACATGAATAACCAGCGAGAAGTTCAGAAATAATGTCTGTAAATCTGTTTTTACCTGTTCCCTGAAGTCCTTTCAAAATAATTGCTGTTTCATTCTTGATTCCAGGATGTTGAATCATTGATGCAATCCAGCCGAGAAGGTATTTATACACTTCATCGTTATTATCACAAATGGCTTCTTTAATGAAATTCATAAACATCTCAATTTTTGAGTAATCTACTTTTTCGAGAATGTTGTATTTATAACCTTGAAACGTTGAGAAAACATCGGGGGAATCAGATTTAAAGCAAACACCCTTAACGGTTAATGAAGACAATTGATTTAGTAGTACATCCCATGCTGTTATGGTTTTACCTTCTTCATTAAATAATTTAATCATTTTGAGTGACTCTTTCATGTTTGACTGAAGAACAAATGATATTTGATTCATTTTGTCGTGTATGTTGTAATCTTTCTGAATGAAATATTTGTTTCCACAATCTACAAAACGGATTACACGTGATAAATCCTCAATTACTTCAGAACTGTTTTTATACTGATGATTTTCAGCCTTGCGTCTAATATCTGTTATCAAAAACGAGTCATCAAGTTTTATATCAAATGTTATTTTTGGCTTACGTAATAAAGGTAAAACGTATTCATCATAATATTCCTTTTGATATAGTTTTAGAATCTTCACTAAAACAAATGGAGAAGTCATTAAATGTGCATATCTACTACGTGCTTTTTCAAAATTACTTTTAGCATTTTCAGTTAAATTGCAGAAGTTATAAACGTTATCATATGCTTCATTAATTAAATGATTAGGTAACGAATTAATAGCTTGAAACAGTGTGAACAATGTTATTTCTTTTTCTAAATTCATGTTTCCACCGTCATTATGTACTTCAAAATCACTGATGCCATCAACTATGCTTTGAGCTAGTTTATCGTCAATGTTTACATCTTTGTTTTCATTCATGATAGTCTTTATTTCTTCATTCTTTTGTTCAACTCTTACCTTAATATTCAAATCATTTAATATATCATTCACTGTTCTAGTTAATGTTGAATCGTAACTTCCACGAATGAATGAGTATGTTTTGATTGGTTCTGTTGCATTCTTGTGAACTCTTGAATCAGCCATAACCACTAATGAACGCTTTGAATCATTCATAGAAGTCATTATGTCAATATCATAATCATTGCAAGAATAACATTTAATCATTCTGTTCGAGGTTGAATAGAAGAAATTAGTGTTGCAATAAATGTGAAGACCTCCTGATGCGGTTTTAACGATAACATCTTTATCCGAAAGTTTTGATAAAATGTCTTTTCTAACTGTTTCTTTAAGTTCATCATTGTATGATTTATTGATATCAACATCTATAATCGTTAAATTTGAAATTTTATTTACTAATAAAGCTGTACCAGTTTTCCTTCCTCTTCCTCCATCGTGTTTGAGGTAGTTATGTAAATCAATCTTGTTTTCACCAATTCTTTCGTTGAGGGTTTTAGTTTCTGCCACAACTAATTCCTCAGCTAATGAATCAATAACTTTTCCATCAGAAACGATAAAGTTGCTGTTGTTGTTTGTTGCTGTCATTTATATAGGAATAAAAAAATAAAAATAATTTTAAAACTAACTTTATTTTTGGACTACATCAAATTTTCGTAAATGTTGTCAAAATGTCATGTTGTCACATTTTTTCAGAGAAGATAAATGACCTGGTGACCTGGTGACCTGGTGACCCCTTCAGTTCTTCAAAAATAAGTCATAACTGCCTTCCTCCTGTGATGTTGTCAAAATGTCATGTTGTCACATTTTTTCAGAGAAGTTAAATGACCTGGTGACCTGGTGACCTGGTGACCCCTTCAGTTCTTCAAAAATAATTAATTATTGAATAACCTAAATCATTTACTCACAATATTTTTGTACAAAACGACCCCAAGCTTTTAACTTCTTTTCTGCAGTTCATCCATTACTTCATTACCTAATTAATTACAAACATAAAATATATTTAGTTCATTCGGTAAGCCCAGACCTTTGGGTCAAGCACATTCATTGAACTCTATACCATGCGAATACAGTCATAAATGGTGGCATGTATTCTTTACTTTGTCCCGTTGTTTGTGTATATCCTGAAACGAAATGTGTATGGTTTCCTTCTCCCTGAGTGTCACTCCAGTAACAATTTATAGCAAACTTAACGTCGTCTTTAACATCATATCCTTTACCTTTTGTCATTCCTGACCAATCCCAATATCTATGCTTATGCCAATCCGCTTGAGATGTACTTAAATCTATGTAGTGACTGTGTGCAGGTAAATTTTCACCTGAAATCGTTTTACTTCCTCCTGTTTCCTTTGAAGAGTTTGCACAATACAAAAACCTGTCAACTATTTGTTCCCATGCACCAACACCAAACATTACTTGAGGACCTCTTGCATCCATAGATGTATAAATAGAACCTACTGGGTTCATTAAATCAAACATATGAGATATTATAGGATTGTCTCTTTTGAACTTAAAATATAGTGTAACTATTTCAGGTTTCTTCTGGTTTGTGTCAGAATATTTTTTATAATATAATCTTATGTTTTCAGGGTAGGTAAAATCTTGACTATAATATTTATTTCTGTCATCTGTATAATAATATACTATTCTCGTTTTTTCTATTGCATTATATCTTTTATATCTATAATAATCTAAATATAATGTTAACTTTTGTTCATCTACATGTGGTGTTCTGACATCATCTCCATAGTCATAATAATATGGTGCTGGAGCCGGGTCAGGCAATGTCATATCTGCCATTTCATAAACTCTTAAATATTTCTTTTGTTCGTCTCCATATAAGTTTAAGTAACAGTTGTTGTCTAATGGAACTTTAACTTGTGTTCCATCATTCTTTATATAGCCTACATACATTTCATTGTTATTTTTCGGAATGAGTTTACACCGTGTACCATTTTTTAAGGAGTGTACAAACTCCCATCTAAAATATTTGTTTTCTTCATAGACAGAAACATCCCCAACAATAGTTTCAATATTTTTTGTTCCTATCAAACTTTGGTATATTTCGTTAACATATGTTTTATCCACCTTCTTCTCTAACTCATCGTTAACATATGTTTTATCCGCTTTAAGGTCTAAACATCCTGAAACCCATCCTGTATCGGCTTTAGTTTTTAAAATCTTTGATGTCCATTCATGATACCATTCAACCCTTTCTTTAATTTCATTATCTTTTTCATCAACATATTCCTTATCCGCCCTCTTCATTATGTCATTTAGGAAACCTTCTATGAATTCCTCATTTAAATTAAATCTTCCAATCTTCAAAACTTTAGGAAATGCATTTAATGCGTAATATCTCTGTTCTTCTGGTGGAATTGATGTTATATCATCCGTTATACCTTTAATTTTTGAATTCATAAATAAAATTTCTTTTATATTTGATATCACTGCACCACCCTTGCAAACGAATTCGAAATGTTCATTTTTCAATACTATCTCCAAATCTCCATATTTCAACCTTTGCGTTTGTTCTGCCGTCTTTGAATTATATGCATATATGGCGTATGTAATGGTCTGAAGGACCTGGGTGCTTTGTGCCTTAAGTTGTTGTGGTTGCTGTTGTTTAATCATTTATTATGATTTAAAAATAAATATTTAATCCGTTATCTCATCAGCTATTTTCTCTATTTGAAATTGCCATAATATTTCATTCATGAATTCTAAATCACAATCAAATAGGTCAGTTACTCTAAATTTAATATTTGATAAATCTTTTGAATGAAGAATAAATGAATTCCCGGATAATTGAAACGGATATGATAAAGAAAATGTGTTTAAGTTGATGGATAAAATGTTTTGTATTGATGGGTAAGAGTTAGGGTCTAATGTTTGATGTGAAAATCTCATTGGGGTATTAACTTTATCACATTTGATTAAAATGAAATTGGAACCAGTGTCAGAATACAAAACATCCCCAACATCTTTTTCAAAATTTAATATCCCAACAATGAACGAAATGAGGAGTACAAAATTTAATTTTCAGCGGGAATTTAATAAGGTTATTTATTTCATCAAGTTCAAAAAGTTTATCAGGTTTTGATTTAAAATTTTCTTCATACCATACGATAAATGATTCATTTAAATAACTTAAAATCATGTTAATATCCCATTTCACTATCACATTATTTATATACATATCATACGTTTTTTCATGGTCATCTTTAATAAATGATATATAATCTGAAGGGTCTAAAAGAATGGGATTAAATTTACCACTCACAGAAACGAGAGTAACATTATAAATTCCGCTAACTGTTAAATTTAATTCACAACTATTATTCGAAATAATATTGATAATTGACATTTTTATTACGATTAAAAATATGGTAAAGCGTTATTTTCCAGTGATAAATAAAACTAGGATAAGATTACCTCAAGAATTCATAAATTCAACGAATAAGAAATTCATTCATGTTATAAATTTTAGTGTTTTCAGAAAATATGAGTCGATGTCATATTCATCAACGGGTTATATTTCACTTCATTCAAATTTAGTTCAATCAAACCCATATAATGACCATTTCATAAGATTTTCAGATGGTATTAAAAATGCAATTGATAGATTAAAATATGAACAGATTGACAATATCGAATTTTTGGAATTTTGGTTTAAATATCCCGATGGAAAAAAGATTGAAGTTAAAGATAAAGCTGATACTATAACAAAAACAATTACAATAACTGATCCAGATAGTGGGAAACAAAAAGAAATAAAACAAACGATAGAAACTGGTGAAAGGTCAATTATTATTGATTATGATTCAAAGGATTATTATTCGATAATGTTAATGCTTGAATATTAAATAGCCTTAACAAAGAATTTTTCAAGTGATATTTTATATTCATCAACTATTTTATTATAAATATCATTATATGTTAAATGAAGTTCAGTTGTTGTTCCGTTCTTTGATATCTTAATTGTGCTAATATCCTTTATAGGATTTATTTTTGCAACTGTTCCGCAGCATGAAACCTCATCATCTATGAAAAATTGAATCTTAACGTCTGAATCTTGAACATCACAAAGAATGGCGATAATGTGAATTAAAGATTCATAAGGTAAAATAATTAAACCTGATTGGTCAATTAAATTTATTATTGAATCATAATTATTAATTATTATATCACGGTAAATTTTCATTAATTCAGAATTAATGTCTATTTTATATGGCGCATTGCGACTGGAATCGTAGATTCCTGGGTTCTCGATGTTTGATGAAAGAGGTGGGGGGTATGTTGGATAAGTGGGAATTTCAACAGGTTCTTTACCGGGTTCAGATAAAATGATTGGGTCTCCATCTTCTTTATTTTGCTCCTCCTCCTTTTTTGGTAAGTCACGAGTTAATAAATTGGACTGTGTTGCTGACCTTGTTAATTCAGGGCTAACATTAACTTTAACATTTTGAATAATTCGTGATTTATCATCATTTACGTTATAACCAACCGTAATCTCTGCTTTTGCGTTAGTGTTCTTTTGACTAGTGAAACGTCTTCTCATTTATAATTGAATAAAAAAAAGAAAAATATATTTAAAGTTTTATTTAGTTGTTACGGTAATATCCCAAGGTTCATCATTGTTTGCTTATACTTTCTTTGTAACTGCACCAATTATGTTATTGATATTGCTTTGAGTTTCTTCCAGTCTTATTTTATCATTTACAATATCTTTAATCATTTCATTACATGCATTCTTAAAACCATCTGATTTTTCTAATTTACGTCTATCACTTTCTTTAATTAAATCAAAGTTATAACCTTGTTGAGAATAAAGTGGTTTCTTTATCAATTCCTTGAACGCTTCTGAAAGTGAAGATGAAGAAATTCTTGCCACTTGAATTGGTTTAAATTCTGCTTTCATTGCTTCTTTCTGTTCATTGAACACTGGATCGAATAAAGCAACTTTAAAGAATTTCTTAGCTGGAATTTCAGGTCTAATATTTGCATATTGACCATCAAACTGATTAACATATCGTGGTAATCCATCCGGTCCCTCTTCAACAGCATTTAATTCTTCATTGAAATAAGAATATGGATTATAACGGTATGAATTAATTGGACCATTTTCACCTTCTCCAATGTATTGTTTAACAGCTTTTCCATTTTCATCAAATTGCATAGGATAACGTTCATTATATGCTTTACGTTTAGGATAATCAGTTATAGTTAATTTATAACCATTTATGACTTTAATATTACCTTGACCATCAGTAACGAAAACTTCATTTATACCATCAGGTTTTCCATTTGGACCCGTAATGTCTGCTTCGTGTGCTTCCCAATTTGGACCATGACGTTTGGCATATGCTTGAGCTTCTGGTAATGTTAAAACGTTTCTCATTTGTTTAACATCTTTTTGAAGACCAGCAACAATATGAACTAATTCTTTCATTCCATCAGGAACTTTCATAGTTCTATTATATGCACCCTTTTTGTTTGTCCCTTGTTTTAATGGAACCTGTAGAAGATTTGCTATTTCTGTCATGTTTAATTATAAATAAAAAATAAAAATTAATTATAAAAAGTTA